AGGCAGTAAACCAGCTCTTTACAGCACAGGACAGCATTTCTGATGGGGTAGCAAGACTGGCCACTGGGTTTCTCCTCTCTGCAAGCAAATTTACAGCTGAACTATCTAGGCCTGTTGCGTAGAGAAAGTTTGAGGGCTGTGGGTATAAAACAAGGTTGCATTGTTATGCCAATTTGAGTGAAAAGTCATCCTACAGCAGACTTCTGCTGTGCGGGTACACTCAAGGACAAGGTGTGCTGGGCAGGGGCAGATGGAGAAAGAGAAGGATTTTAGGAAGCTCCTAGTGAAGGAAGGGATAGCTTGGCAGTGGTTTCTCCATCCCTCCTCTTACCCCAGCAAAGCCATTCCCTGCTGAGCGGCTTTCCCACAGCCACGAAGCTTCTGCTCTGCCGTTTCCCCTGGCCTCCTTGGGAAGGAGACCCTGAAGAGGAGGCATTGTTCCCAGCTCTCCTCGAGGGCGTTTGCTGTTTGGCAGAGCAGAAGGGACAGTCCTCCAGCCCCAAAGAAAAGCCCCTTTTGAGCTGTTTCTAGAGGACCAGCTCTCTCTGTGGCAGCAGATGTGGGATTGATTGAAGAAGTCCATTTGCTTGGTGGTGTTAGCTGTAGAAAACTTGATGAAAATGCTCTAACATGCTTTTTATATATAAATATGCAATAGGATTTGTGACACCTAATGCAGGGAGCATAGGAGAGTCTCAGAAGCAGAGCGAGTTCCCAGGCTCTGGTAGGTCTGCAGTGATGCCCTAGGCAGCAAGCCACGTTCTCACCAGGGCTGCGAGTTATAAATGAAACATCTCAGCAGTGCAGATCAGATCCAGGGCTGGCTTCAGCTTCTGCTGTGTTATTCATGAGTATGTGAAAGCTCTGAAAAATGTGACAGACTTTGGGTTAGGTTCTCAACACATTACTTCTCATGAGATGAAATATGAGTGTGTCCCTGTTAAGACAGGAATGTATACACTGGAAGCTGTGAGAAAATGGCATATATAAAGGGAAAGTGAAGTCTTTGGTGTTCTGCTGTCAGTGGGTTTGTTTTCAATTCCGTCCCAAGAGGAGCACTTTGCTAGTGAGCTACAAGCACTCGCAGCCATGGCAGTGTGGTTCAAATCCGTTTGAAAACATTCTGCCCCAGAATTGGTTTTACATGGGGTTTTGCAAGGTTGCTTGCTTGTGAGTGCAGAGGATTAGGAGCCCCTCCACGGCTCCTGGAGAGGTCACGCCAGCAGCCCGGAGTCTCCTCTTTGCCAAAGTGAGCACTCAACGAAGTGGTCAGCTGAAAATTTGGCTCACGTTCCCTTTTTAAGCAGCATGCTTAGCCCTCTCAGCTAATGATCCGCAGGGGCTCAGCATGACTCCTAAATCCCTAAAGCATTTTGGCCTGGTTGCTGTGGGTGACTGGAACTGTGTGGGTCAGAAAGAGGTTGCTCCAGTGCCCTCCGGGTGGGAGGAGTAGTAAGGGAAAAGGCAGGGATGCTCAGAGGCCCCAAGGGTTGTGTGTGTCTGGGAGAAGACAGCATGGCAGGGCCATAAGTTCTCTTACATACTCGTGAGCCTTTGTACTTTCCTCATGGGAAAGGATTTGGTCCCCTTTTCTGAGAAATAAGTGGGCGTTTTCCTGTTGGTTTCCATGAGAGCTGGTCTGGGAGTGCAGTTTATATAAAGGGAGCTGCTATGCACGTGGGTATTTTGTCCACCTGGGCTTACATTGTTGTATAAATCTGTAATTTCTTCGTGTTAAAGGCACATGGGGGACCTGAGCCTCGGGTCCAGCCTTCCTTACATCCCCGTGTACATAGCAACCAGCCTCTGCTTTTTAATGCTCCGTTCACAGGTACGCGTCTCAAACAGCACTTTGGCAGGGGACAAACAAAGCCCAGATCTGCACCAGGCTGTCCCAGCCCTGCATGTGCTGGGTGAGATGTGATGCATCTTGTGACCACTTCTAGCAAACAGGTCTGTCTGGCCATGCCCATGCTGAGGAATCTGGTCTGGGTGCTTGTCTTGGCTGTTTCCAGTCTGCATATGAGGTGAAGACCTGGGTGTGCAGCATCCCCGCCGTCTGCGCTTCCAAACCCCTAGTGCCTTGGGCATGCAGTCCCAGGTGGGAACGGTGGTGCAGTCTTGAAGGTGCCTCGTCTGGGTGCTGGGGGACCGAGCCCTGGGCTGCACTGTGGCACACCCGGCAGCCAAGAGCCACAACTGCCGGCGCCTGCTGCAGATGTGACAATAGCATCTGTACGGATCCTGCTACTGTGTCCAGAGCGTGTGTGATGGTGCAGCTTCAAACACCGACTTATGAAGACAGTGCTATCTGCTCTGCATTAGCCAGCTGGCTGGGAGAGCTTCTCTATGCCTCCTTTTTCCTGGGGGGAAGATGGTAGTAGCTGGCAATGCGTTTTTCGGTTGTCAGTAGAGTGGTGGCTATATTGAAGGGCAAAGTATTATTGCTCTTGTACAGTCCTGGTTTTGGTAAAAATGGATGGGCTCGAAGTAAATACGAAGTTCCTTTGTCAAACACATGTAATAATAGCTGAAATTTGTGTATATGAAGTGCTATGAGTAATCTTCTGCCTTTCTGAAGAAATGTTTTCTTTACTGAAAACTGGTGACTTGCAACCCATTCCCGCAGCATTAGTTGGGTACGTGACAGGGAGATCACATAAAAGGTCACCATCGGTTTGAAATGAAGGCAATGAAAAATGTGTGTCTTGTACTAAAACTGTTCCTGGAGATTGTTGGCCAAGTATTGCAGCCTCACTTTTCTATTTTTAAAACTCTCTCGCCAGCTGCTATGTGACCCTTCCCTCCACACCCACAACAGAAAAAGCCTTACTGATTAGAAACAGGAAATAATAAAACTCACTAACCACAAAGTATTTTCAAATGCGCAAAGTAAACAAGCAGAGATGGTGAGAAATACATATTTCCCACTGATCTCTTTTCAGCACAGTAACCATAGCCGATAATTATAGTCTCTGGGGTTTTACAGCTTTTAGGGGGAAAGTATGTTTTTAAGTTGATGCTGTCAAACCATAGTAAAATATTTTCATCACAGCCTCTCCCAGCATAACAATAAGGTGGCCACAAGTGCCATGAGATGCATTACTGACACCATCTAGAAGTAAATGAAAACTTCAGGCCCTATCTGCTCCTCTTATCTGCCCCACTGGTGTGCAGACCCCAGCGCTGGGCAATGGAGGTTCCTCTGGTGGGTGCAGCCATGCGGGCTTGTGTGGCATGGGGGCTTTACCTAAACTCAGCAGTATGCATGATAATAAACGGGGAAGGTCTTTAATGTCTTTCCTCTTCCAGGATTTTGCGGTTTGCTTTGCCTGAATGTTTTCCCTGCCTGTGAGTATTCTGTGTGCTTTGCTGCGGCTGTTTGCTCAGGCTGGCCCCAGCTCCCACCCTCATCTGGGTTTTTGTGGTGGGATGATTTGGATGTATTTTCTGTATTGGTGTTCACTCTGGAGGTTCCCATCAGTAAAGGGGGAAGTCCTAATTTTCAGGCAGAGGGTGGAAACTGAGGTTGCGGTAAGATCTGCACAATTCTGTGTCTTTACCTGCCTTCTGACCCCATGGTTGAAGAAACCCGCCGTGCCTCCACACAGCCATGTGTAGCCCAGTTGTTTCTCCTACCACCCTTATGCCACTGCTCCTAGTGCCTTTTCAAGAGGGCTGGATAAAAGGGAGAGCTTCATAGAAAAAGATGCTAAACCCAAAGGTGATGGTTTTCACTGCTTCGGCACATCATCAAATAGATCTCGCTGCATAATGAGTCCCTCTGAACTGTGGGTCCATTAATTAGTATGCGCGGTGTTTGTTTAGGAGTTCCTTGCTCTTTTATTTTAACTGTGAGGAACTTTTAACTGCCTTTGAGATGAAAAACTGGGACCAAATGTTGCCAACAAACTGAGCAGATTTGTCCCAGTCTCCTTGGTCCAATTTGCAGGGAATTTTACCCTCTGCCCTTTAGATTATCTCTGCGATTCCTTTATAAGCAAAAGCTAAAGCATTGATCCAGGCTGATAGACCCAACTCCTGATTTCTTTCATAACCTTTTAAGTGTTACTGTGATCCAGGTGATTCTGTGTGTGTGTGCGTGCGCGCACACGTGTGGTGCACACTGCTTTTCTACAAAGCATCAGGGGCACAAACCAAACCATCTCTTTCAGCTGCATTCAGGAAAAACTGTTTGTGAAAGAAGAACACAAAAGCAGATCCCCAAGTACTGTTTATTCAGAGCAGACAGGACAAGGCTGGGAGAAATATCAGTCATTATCTTCCAAAAGTTTATTTAGAACTTTTAGTTACGGAAACAAAAAAATAATTCCTAAATATAACTATATGTAACATATATATACACACACACACACATACAGCTCACTAGTTTAACAGTAATGTCAGGATATCCAGGTGGCTGAGAACAGCACAGCCAGAGTGAGCAATCCAGACAGCATTTCTAAACAGCCTAGAAGGTCCAAACCAAGTCTTTCCCTTTCTCTCTTTTTTTCTAATCACTGCAGCATTTTTACAGGAATCAGAACTGGAATCTCCTACAGCTGCACAGAGATAATAATAAAAATAAAAAGCAGAAGAGATCAGCTGTTTACCCCTTTATCCAACGAAGTGATCTCAGTGGCTTATGTGAGATCTGAGAGGTAAGCTTGATGCCAGAGAGGGCCGCTGCTTGTTGTCTTGTATTTTTATTAATAGGAAATTAATTATTTTAAGAATGTAAAACAAGAAAGCTATATAATTAATATACACTAAAGAGCTTGAGAGGATTCTATACAATAATTTAGATGTATTAAATAAATAAAAAATAACAGCAGCCTTCTACAATGCAGGCTACACATAGGTTTACTTCTGCTTGAAGTACCCTGGTCTTTAGTACACCTACAGGAACAGACTCGCTCCACAAGTGTTTTAAAGAAACATATCTATAAGATACATATGTAAGAGTGTCTAAGGTTAGGATAAACATTTTAAAACACACTTTACCATGGTCTCCACATATCTAATGACCCCATTCTAGGGTTGTTATGGGAAAAATTTGGCTGCAGGACCTGTCTGGGAGGTGCAGCATCAACCTGGCTGAAAACCGACAGCAATGGCAGCTGGAAGGGATTTTTTGAAGCCTGCTTGTTCTCCACAGGGTTGAAGCGCTCCTGTGATGGGTTTGTGCCCCGAGTGCTCCCCTTAGGGCTCAGGGGGCTTTTTGCCATCAAGAGAGGCTGCTGAGATGGGCTCGAAGGCCTTAATGCTGCTTTGCAGGTGTCTTCGCCAGACCTGGGTAAGGATTTCAGCAGGTGGTTTAACAGGCGCGCCCCGAGGGTCTTGTCCATCCACTCGCAGGTGAGGAGGAGGTTGTGCACCTCGTGCATGCACTGAATGTACCCGGTGCTGTACCTCTGCTGGGCTTCCAGACCCACCTTGGAGTCAGCTGCGTTGGAGAGGAGGCAAGGGGAGTTGGTGAGCAGGTAAAAGCTGCCCAGTGTGTTCCTGCTTAAAAGCATTCACCAGGTTTCCCGTGTGCACGGGCTCCTGGGGGGCTCGTTGCGGAAGCCAAGTGGGCTTTACTATAAGGTGAATCGTTTGCAGGGCACAGGGGGAAGGTGATGCAGGGTGCGAGCCGCCCTGGCAGGCAGCCCCCACGTCCTGCTGCCCACCGCCAAGGGCAAAACTAGACTAAAACGCAGAAAGTGGCTCGGGAAGCTAAAAAAAGCCTTCCGTGGGCTAACCAGTGCCCAGCTCCATCTCCCCATCTAGTGGAGAAAGCCAAACCCGAGCAGCAGCCCGGGCCTCAACGGGTTTGAAAGATGCTTTTCCCAAGCTGTCAGCAGATTAAACCTGCTGGCACCCTCCTGCCCCGGCGCTGCCCACGCTCGCAGGGTGGGGGACCGGGCACTCACCCATCAGCTTGCTGCTGTTTCTCAAAAGAGGGAGACCCCCCCCAACCAATCCCCCACCAGCAAAAGGACAAAAAGCAGCATAAAAATGAGCGCTTACATCCAGATGAAATGCGCCCACAACAGTCTCCTTCAGCTGGTCCAAGCAGTTATTAATCCTTTCCCTTCGCTTCCGCTCAATGAGGGGTTTCCTTAGCTGGCAGGGAAAAGAAAAGGAGGAGGAAAAATTGCAGTTGATGTTTTTTCTTCCTCTCCCTGCTGCAGCTCCGTGAGGGCAGAGAGCCCCATCCCCTGCGTGAAGCCAGCGTGGGGTGTCGCAATGCTCGGCAGGGACAAGATACAGATGGAGAGTGCACCATCTCCAGCTCTGGTCGTGGCCTGTCCCTTAGACAGTATCAGGTCTCAGTTCTCCCACTTCCACTCATTTTAAGCAGAGTTTACCCAAATGGAGCAAAGAGAGAGAAACCTTTCTAAGGCGGCAAAAGGAAGCAGAAAAAACACCCACATGGGTTAAATTCAGAGAAAGCATCTTTATAGTAAAAGGCAAAAAAGTGTCCCGTTTCTCAGTGCCTGTAGCCCCAGCACTTCATGTGCCCGGTGCTGGCATCCACACGTGGGGCTGCTGTTGCAGCAGTGCGGAGGGGACCTACCTTCCTCTCCTCCTTGGTGCTGGTGAGCTTGTGGGTGCCGCCGGCGGTGGCTGCAGCGGTCATTGTAATCCAGCCTGCCCGCCCTGGGTGCCAGGAGGACGGGACGGGAAGGAGGCACTCGGGCAGTGGGTCGCTCCCTTTCCCAACAGGCTCTTTGCTGCTCTGCTGCTCCTCTGCTGTATTTATAACCCAGAATTAGCATGTGAAAGGAGACTTTCCTTGGCGGGACTTCTTTTCCCACACGAGAGGTCCAGCCCGGAGGTTTGTGGCCATCAATCAAAGCTGACAGGTCACTGCTTCTTTTCAATGACCACGCCGGCCCCCCCAAACAGCGACAGATGTCCAGCCTCCGACGCCAGGCTTTGGAGGGCTCTTTTGTTAGGGAAGAAGGGAAGGAAAATGGGCGCGCTCTGAGCAGCTTGCACAGCATCTCGCTCAATTTGCACAGATTCCCAGAGCGGGAAACAATAACCGAGAAGCGGTTGAGTTACACCTGGGAAAATGCCTTCTACCCATCTTTTTCCCCTCTACCTCCTTGAATTGATGCCTCTTTTTACCTGCTAACCTGAGCCCCAGCCATTTCACATCTTTGAAGCAGCCTCTTAATTTAACAATAGAGTACTTGAGCTAGGAGTTCCTGCTCCCAGGAATTACTATTACGAGGTAATGATGAACGATTAAAAACTGTTGACAGCAGATGCCTGTAGGAAGGTTGTTTCCATCACAGAAATCCTCTAGGGAAAACACAGGAACTTTATCTACCTCTTGGGAACCCAAATTCTCCGTTGCGCACAGCTGGATGTAGGAAATATGTAACTCTCTTAGTTTTTGGCTGCTGTGTAGAATTTAATATTAAACTTACAGGCCATTGCAGATGCAAATGAGCCTAGAGGTGAGTTAGTTCTGTGGGATTTTTTTTTTCTTTGATTTTTTCCCCCTTGCTGCAAGGAGTCTTGGGTGGCTTTGGGGGGGAAGGGTGTTTTTCGGTTTGGCCCTCTGAGATGCTAGTGCAGAAGCAGACAGGCCTTTGGAGGAGACTTGGCACAGGATGAGAATGCACTTTTATGCTTCCTCATTTCTGCCTGGTCTGGGGGAGAGTATGAAGGCTTTTTTTCGTGACCGTGCTTTTGCTTTCTGACGGTCGCTTTGCTAATGAGCAGGATTTGGCAGTGTCCTGTTGAGTCCCACAGGTGACTTCACCCCAAAGGTGAAGCCCTTTGGGTTGGTGTCGAATGTGTCACCTTATTGAAATGGAGAGGAAGTAGAAGCACCGCGAGCCATCCCGACCCACTGGTGGGATTTCCCAGCACCCGGCGCAGCGCCGCGGCTGCGGAGCCCTCTCTCCCCACCTCCAGCTGTGGGTGGGGATGTGTACCCCAGCGATAAAAGCAAGGACATCGCGTCCCTTGCTTAAACGCTGTGTGGGTGTGTGTTTGCCTGTGTGTAAATGCAAACGTACTTGCAGCATGTCTGTACACCCTGCTCCCTGGGCTCATCATGGAAACGTGTCCCCAGACATGGTATCTCACAGGCAGAGGTTGTTTGTCAGTCAAATGCAGAGCTGGGGTGCAGTTACCCAGTTTTATAAGCACCCTACTTGACAAGGGCTCACAGGGGAGAGCCCGCGACGGGCCGGTGTGGTTGTTGCGCTGGGAGAGGAGGGTTTGGAAGGGGAAGGTCAATAACTTGTCCTTTGTGCCAGGTAAAGTGATGGGCTCCTTATGTCAGGTGCCTCCCCTGCACAGACAGCAAAAGGAGGTCCCACCACCCCGTCCAGGAGCCCCTCACATCAGCCAGCCCTGGCTGCTCACAAGTGAAGACTATCGGTTTTTCAAGCTTTTTCCAGCCCACCTGGGGAAGTGGAGCATTGCTGGTATTTATAAAAGGCGTAGCTGAGGCATCTGTATCACCACATGACTCCGGCAGCTCGGCATGGAAGAGGCAGCGGGTGGGTTGGGGTAGGGCTCTGCCCTGCACGTGGGGGGTGGGAAAGAGGAGAAGTTCCCCATCCCCCCCCCCCAAACACCCCTCCACCAACACCTTGTGCAGAAAGAAGCACCTTCCCAAGGCAGTCAGGGCAGCAGGGGGAAGCCTGAGACCATCTAGGCTGCTGGCCCAGCTGAGCATTGCAGAGGTGTCAGCAAATGCAGAACTGCCTAAAAGCGCTGAAAAACATGTCCCGTGCCCATAGGCATCCCCCCTGGCTGGGCACGGCTCTGGGCTGCTGTGTGTGCCCCCCGTGTCAGTGGCCCTGGGTCGCCCCAGCACCACCAGGAAAGGTCTCTCTGGTCTCTGTGGTGTTGGCACCTCCTCCCTCGCCCTCCCTTTCCTCCTTGGCCTGGACTTGCTGCTTCTGCCTTACCCTCCCTCCCGCTTCCCTCGCCCTGGCAGGTGCCGCCGATCTCCCAGGCAAGGGGGATGCTCTGCGAGAGGGTCGCACACAGGCTTCCCTGGCAAAGTGGCTTCCGTGAAGCAAGCAGGCAGGGGGATGCTGGTGGTGAGGCGGTGGCTGCTGGGGACAGCCGGGTGTGATGGGGGGCCACGAACAGCACGGTGGCCCCCAGTGCCCAGCCACGGTCCGTGCCCAGCCCACGCAGGGCAGCTGAGCCCCCAGCCTCGGTGGGGGAAGAGCCTTGGCTCGCCCGCTGGCATCTGCTCCGGGTGAGCTCATTTCAAGGTTCATTTGTAAGACAGCACTGCAGTGAAAAAGAAGAGCAGCTTTTGCTGTAAACAGTTATTTTACACCTCTCAGTCAGGGCAAAGGCCTTTATTTTGGAGGCGGGGGGAGTGCGGGCAGGAGCGCTGCCCTGCCTTTGGGGGAAGGCTGACATCTGTGCCGGGGATTGTAGCGACCCAACAGGCCAATGCAAATGAGCATTAAAGGCAGCTTTCTGCAAATTCCCGCGTTCCTTTTGCATTGCCCACTGCCAGGTTTCACTGAAAAGGGGATTCCCCTTCATAAACAAAGCCTCCCTTTTTTCCTGGGCTTTCCAAAAAAAAAAAAAAAAGGAAAGAGAAAGGGGTCAGCACTGCTTGGAGTTTTTTGGGGAGTTTTTTTGCTATTTGTCTACATTTCACACCCTGGAGAAAGAAAACAACTTTTAACATCTGTTCCTGCACTCTTTAAGAGGCAAAGAAAGGCTCTTGAAAAGGGGGAAAGTGTGGCAGATGTTGGCAGGTTCCCTCCAACGCAGATGTCTTGCTCCGAAGAAAACTTTCTTTGGGGATTGGTGGCCAGGGCTCCTCTTTGACTCGGGACACGCGACTGCCTAGCGAACGAAGGGACGTGGGAAAGCGCTGGCGAACAAAAGGGCTTATTCAAACAAACCTGAGAGCCGTGAACAATCTAATAACCAGCAGAGAAATGGTCAGCGGCCCCCGACCCCGCTGGGGAGGGGTTCAGGGCAGCTGGGGGCCACGGGATGAGGAAATTTCGCCACATCCCCAGGGCTGTGAGCAGGGGTGTCCTCTCCTTGCCCCCCACCTGCTCCCTCTGGGGCATCCAACGCGGCGCTTTGGCCAAGGACTGTCTTTCTCGAGGTGCTAAATGGTCTCAGCTGGTCCGCAGACCTAGCTGCGTGGGAGCTGGCTGCCCCATGGTGTCAAGCAGCAGAGGAGATGGAGGACAGGTACATGCCGGTGGGCTGGGCTGTCCCACATGCACCGGCCAAGACACTGGTGATCCCCCTGGCCAAGGCAGTGGGAGAGAAGCAACTGTGGGACAGCAAGGATTTGGCAAGACACAGCATCTTTGTACACATATTTAATTAAGCTTTTAAATAAGAGCTTCTGCCAAGTTAATAACAATAACCCCCCCAACCCTATTGATTAGGACTAGTTGAAAGATTCCTGTGAAACTGATTTTGAGGAAAGAAGATTTTTTTTTAATGGAAAACAAAAATATTGAAAGAAAAAAGTATTTTCTGTGAACCTTTCATTCACCCTCTCCCCTTCTTTCTGGCTGGTAAAATAAAATTATTTAAAGTAAGTTTTTTCCATGAAAGCTGGTAATATTTTAGTGTAGACACTTGATAGGAAAAAAGTGAGAAGTAGAGAAAAGGGAGCAGAGCCAAGAAAATTCCCACAAGCAAGTAACTAATTCTGGTTTGCTGTTAAAGCTGAGGAGCTCCATGATTATTCCTCTAATTCCTCCAAGTTTTGTTCTGCCTCATCTCTGTCCCAATCCTTTTTCCCTGGGCTCTGGGCAGGGCAGAGCCACTCCTGCCGGCGAGGCTGCTCTGTGCTGGGGTGGCCGTGCCTCTTCCCTGCTTGGGGCTGGAGGGGAAAGCCTGGTGAGATGGAGCTGTGTTGCCTTTTTGGAGGCCAAGTGCTGGCGCGAGCAGCCCAAACCCCTGCTGTGGGTGTCCCCTGTGTTTCTGCTATCAGCAGAGCCCTCCCTGCATGGCGGCTGGGAAGCAGGAGCCATCTCAGCTGGGCTGAGGAGGCCCATGCTGCAGGAAGGATGCTGTGTGTCACCAGAGACCCACGCGCCCGCCCAGGCAGGTCCCTCCTGCCTCTTGCGACTCAGGGCGATGCTGTGGACACCAGCTCACAACCTGGCAGGACTAACCAGGAGGCCTGTGCAGTGCTGGGGTGGCCCCCGAGTCCAACCCAGGCCCCTGGCTGGCTAATGAAACAGCCTCATTAACGCAGCCGAGCCTTTTGCAGGGATGGATTTGCTGTGGGATAGCAGGGGAACAGGGGAGGAGAGATGAGCGGGTGCTCCTGAACGCTACCTGATACGCTGCACATGGGGCTCATGGCGGGACCACCTCTCCTCTCCGGGCTGGGGACACATCTGTGTTGGATTTGTCCCCAGTTAAGCAACTGCTCGTCCCTCTTCTGAGGTGTGTGAGCGTGGGTCCCTGGTCCGCAGGAGGTGCCGGTGGGCCGGCTGCCAGGCGGACGCGAGGGGCTGCTCAGGGTGTCCTGCCCCCTGCAGCCCTCCCAGCTGTGAGTGGTTTTGTTGGGTCTGCTTTTATCACAGGGGCTTTGCCTTTGGCACATGCAGTGGTGAGGGGGTTGTGAAGCAAGGAGCAAAGCGCAGATTTGGGAGCCGCGGG